CTTTGAAAACTTTGGTTCCCCCCCCCCCCCCCCCCCTTATCACTTGGTGCTATTTTTAAGTACATATTTTCTGTTCGGGTTCCATTGTAAAAGCCGTTCCATTAGGAAGCTCCTGCTGCTCATCTAGTTAGCCTAGCTGATGTAAATAACCAGGCAGACAGTGTGAACTCTGCTTTGACAAGCTGTAGCGCCGAACCCCATGCGTGCTTTCTCTTTCATCAGATACATGCGCTCTCTCTGTGACTTCTATTGGCCACTGGGGGATGTGAAATGAAAAACCACCTGATTGTGAATTATGACAGTAAAAGTTTATAAGCTACTAAAATGAAGTTATAGCACCTAGGAGTTCAGTCAACTGACAATGTTAAATGATACGTTTTAAAACTTGCTCCGAGATAATGCTACAAAAGGAACCGCACATGCAGAGGTGAGGTGGTGCTGCTCTGTGACAGGCAGAAAGGTAATGTGGCATGGAGCAAACTGCAGAGGATTTAAGGAAAGCTGCTGCGCTGGTGGCAGTTGTTCTCTGTTAATCCCAGGAGAGCTAAAGGTAACTGCTTTAAAAGAAATGTGTTTACAACTCAAAGATGTGGAGGAAAGAGAAAAACGTAAATATATGTAAGGGGGGTGGGGTGTAATCCTTTGACTGCTGGCTCTCCTGGGCTGTGGAACTGCTCTTTCTCTCTAATTAGAAAATTTGGACGAGCTAAGAATGGCATTGGATGGTATTAGTGGCCAAAAGATCAGTTAAGGCTATCAGGTTTGTACAGCAAAGCTGTTTTTCCTCTTCTCCCTTTTAGGTCATTCAAGTGGTGAACAGCCACTCTATTTAGATGGCTAGGATTTGGTACCAGACTTTGAGGGAGCAAAGAAAGGTGACTTTGGGCACACTGATGCTGGTGCGTTAGTACAGATCAGGAGTGTGCTTTTGATCTGAATCTCCTGATTATCTTGCAGAGTGATCTTGCGGCACAAAAAAACTGCATTCCTTTTGAATGGAACTAAACCAAAAAAATGCTTGTACCTGTTGTGTTCCAGCTCTTGGTAGGAACTGGTCTGATGTGAACCCTGCTGAGCTGTGCACAATGTGGACATCACATTCTCAGCACCAGCTGTTTCATGCTCTGTATTTGCTCCCATTGCACTTCTCTACTTGCCAATGAAGACGGTCTCTCTTTCTTCTTCAAAGGCAATAAATATCCTGTATTCCCAAATAATGTAAAAGGTTGTTACAGCACTGTAGAGCTCTCTCGTATTCTGTATGTACTGTAACTTCTTTTTCACCTTGGTTTTATGTTTTTGCTGTAGTTGATTATGGTACTTCAGGTACATTATAGACATATTATGGTCTTCAAATACAGACTGACAGAGGCTGGCTTTCTTTTTAAGCATCTTGATTTCCATAGCAATTTACCACCTCAGCTTGTTTGCAGACTGGTTGCAACGAACAACATCAAAAGCAATACAGTTGCGAACTAAAGCACACAAGAATACAGGCAGGGAAGACTGTGGGTGTGATAGGTGGTACTGTCCTCTGCTGAATGGAGTTTAAGCTGCTAAAATATCTCAAACCCTATTGCCAAAAGCCTTGGCAGAAAAAGATCTGATTCATGCAAATAAATGTCATGTGCAAAAGAGGGACATGTTGTAGACTCACAGCTAAAGGCAGCTATAAAGAAAGGTAATGTAAAATGTCAGGTAGCATCTTGGTAATAGAGCACCATCCAAGGCACTGAACAAATGTTTTTTTATGACTTTTTTTTTTTCTTCTTCTTAAAAAGGGCCTATTAAAAGCATGAGAGATGTGAATAAGGATTTCTACAGACCACCTTAATTCTAGCTCTTCCTAAAATTTTCAGGTTTGACATTCATTTAGGTATGTGCACAGGATAATATAGAGGGAAGACTGCCCAATCATTGCAGTAGTAGCTGTGCAGAGTTAGGTTTTCCAGTACACTTCAGATTTGTTAGGAAAGTCCTTTAATTTCTCTAGATCTCTCTTGTCTGTCTGCAAAGCAGGAGCAAAGTATACTGTAGACTCAAAAAACCATAGATGCTGTGAGAATGAAGTCTGTATAAATAGCTACGGGGGGGGGGGGGGGGGGGGGGGGGGAGGCGCTGGGGGTGTTTT